AAGTGCATGAAGAAGATATTCAAAGGTCAATCTCACCAGAAGAGAACGGTTTAATCCCATTGTACTGCAGGCGTTTGGCTTTAATATGACGTTCATGTTGATGCAGTCCACGAGACCTCTCTCGTTTCGGGTGAAAACTGGCTGAGCTTTTGCTCATTATATAACGGACATTATCAGAGCTGGAAATCATTCTTTTAAAAGTCTCACATTAATACTATGTCGAGAAAGCTATCCGACTTCTAATTTTGGACCCAATGCCGATAAAATAAGAAGGGAAGGAGGGGAGATTAAAATTAGAAAAATTCTAAGACTTCTTCACAGATCTATCACGCTTGGTGACGTTTCAATAGTACAGGAATAATCTGAGACGTATTTTTATAATTTGACGCTTATTTTGTAAATGCATGTCTCGCATCTTATATCGCATTACTCTTAGATTAGCCTGCCTGTCCTTGTTAAGATAGATGCAATCTTCTCTCGCAAGTCGTAGATATGAAAAGCAATGTTGCTTAGACTTCTGTTTGGTCTCATTCTCCTTTAGCTTTATAGTGTTGGTTCGACCTCGTTTTCGCAAGAAGACCTTGTGGAACTCTCCAAGTCCTGCGTCCCCTGCAATGAACTTTCGCTATGATTGCCCCACAGGTGAGAGCACAAATAAAGTCACAAAGGAAACCATATTATTTTATAGATGAGCAGTCTTAAGTTCGAGGAGTAAGAAATTCATGCGATGAATAACCCATGAATCTCTAGTTATCTTTGTTATTCTTGCTATATGTGCCAGCTTATCCTTTCTTGTTTTTATATTAGGTGTTTATATAAGCAAGTCATCTGTTATATACCTTTATTTTTCTGCTTACAAAGTACAGTACTTTCTACTGGTGATAACCCTGATTTCACTTTTTGAGACGATTCTGATACTGCTTGTATGGAAAGAGTAGACTCAAATTTCAACTTACATTTCGCACCTCCGACATTATTGATGATAGTAATCTTCGTCAGGCTTGAATTATAAAGGTAGATATGAAGACCAAGATGTTGTGCCTTCTATTTTAGTTTAATTCTCCTTTCGCTGTATATAACTGGTCTGAGCTCGTTTTCACGACTTGGTCGTGTTGTCATGGTGACCTAGTTGGACGCACCTTGTCTGAAGTCGTCTGCTATATTAGTTATGGTAATTCCTAGTTTTGGGCCGTGAAATTGGTACCTAGGTTTATAATGCCCTAAAAGTCAAGCTTAATTTATTTTGACATTTTTTCATTGTCACTATCATGTTCCTTTTCCATTTTATCAGATCTTCCATCTTTGTTGGACTATTTTTCTTTCGCTGGATTTATTACCTGATTCTTAATGTACTTTCTTTCATCTCTGACTAATTGTCATTACCACAAGAAGACGCAATAAATTGATCGAAATGATAAATGATAATAGAGATCGTAATCTTTGAATATCTTGGAAAAATAATAAAAACTTTTATTCGAGACCAAGTTTGAAATTTGCGCTATAATTTTTAATTTTTCCGTTTTGGTGGCTACGCAAGATTGGTGAATTGTGAATAATTAGATATTGTTGCCAACTGTTTCTGAATTTTATTTTATAAATATTATTTAAACTTCGATCTCACTATACACAATACAACTCTTTAATTGATAGCCTCCAGACGTAGCCTCCCTCGTTGCCAATGGCTGTAGAGGCGTGGCCAGAAATCTACTCAACTGGCCAGTTGAGGTTATCCTCGGGGGTCGGCGTTTCGCAACTTCTGAGACCTCTACATCAGCTTCTGCACCTATGTCATTCTCTCATAGACAGTGCCGCAGTAACATCATCAGCCGTTCCAAATTCCTGGACACGGTGGATGGTGGTCGGTATGCCTCTATTCAGAAACACAAGAAGCCAGATCTCCGGGGGACGGCGAGGTTGTCTGGTCAAGAGGAGGACAACTTGAATTCTCATATGACAGGTGCAGATAATTCCTCCAGTGTCCTCACAGGGTTCGAGGATTGCAACTATTTGGGGGCCGAAAACGAAGTGCTTAATCATGAGGAGGACCTCGGTTACAATGCTGGTAAGGCCGCATCATCAAAAGCGACAACATCAACACCGAGGCAGACTACGAAAATAATAGCAGAATCAGCATCAGATTCAAAGGCGAAATCGGCCACCCGGCTTTCTAGTGTTACACCAACTCTCAAATTGGTTGATGCGGATGCTTTACAGACTATATTACTTCTACAGTCGCCCAAAGAACTTCATGAAAGAGTGCGCAGTCAGGACCCTATTGGAAATCGGGACTGGACATTGTCCGATGCACGCCTTGTGTTCAACACCTGGCGGCGTGAGATGAAGAAGGTAGGCATGCTTTTTTTCAACAAATCGATTTAACTACATATTATTCTGTCAAAACCTTATAATATATGTAAATATTTCACGTCCTCGCTCACATTATTATTAAAAAGAAAAGAATTAACTTGTCTGAAGTA